CAGTCAAATGCCTTAGGCACTATGCCACCAGAGCTCCCTATCTTGGGAGTAGAGGGGAGGAAAATCAAGAGAAGTCACATACATGGAGTCTCTGATAGCATTGTTGTTGTTGTTGTTGGGTGCCATCGAGTCGGACCCGACTCATAGCGACCCCTCCTTGGGTTTCCAAGGCAGTATCACTACGGAAGTAGATTGCAGAGGAGTGGCTGGTGGGTTTGAACCGCCAGCCTTCTGGTTAGCAGTCAAGTGCCTTAGCTACTATGCTACCAGCATTATTCACATGTATATGAGAAGTATCTACCTAGTTATATTGCTCTAAATCCTGAACTTCTACTTAACAAATGGGTAGATAAATTCCTACTCGGGATGAAACAGTTGTAGAAATGAAAGGAAGAACCAAGTTATCACCATGTTACAGTGTAATTCTAATGCCATCTAATACATAAAAATATGAACAGTATTTTTTACTCCAATTGAAACCAAATGAAAAAGGTCCCCTGATCTTTTTTTTAAATACATACTTTGCTATTTTCTCTTTCAAGTTAAAATCAACAGAGCCAGTACTAATAGTATTTAAGATTGCTGAATAAAAAGATACGTATTTCACTCTTAATTCTTTACTTAGATCCACCAGGTGGCAGTAAGTTTTTATACATAATCACAGTTCATGAAGACTAACATTTATAAAAATCATAAAATTTTAGCACACTAGATCTGGCTGGCTTAGACTCCAGTCCAAGTCCCCCAACACACACACACACACACACACACACACAGTTTCTCTTCTAGGATTCATGCATGCCAACCCATCAGTACCACTTCCATATCCTGCTTCATTTATGCATTCTCATTCAAGTAGCATATAAATATTTGTCATAATGTGGGGAAATTAATGTATAATATTGTGTTGTCCGTTTTATCAAACTTTCAGTTCAGTAGGGTACAAACTTGAGGGTTTTTCTTAATTGCCAATCTTCAACTGTTTTTTACTTATAAAAATGGGTATTTTATATATTTTAACCTAACATTTTTCTCTATTCCTTGCAGTCATTGCCAAGTATACTCACAGCAACCCTATGGGACAAAGTAGAACTGCCTTACAGGGTTCCTCCCTAGTTAAGAATGTCTTTTTGTCAAAGTGTGGTCCTAGAATCATCAGCATCCCCAGGGAGCTTGTTAGAAATGCAAAATCTTTGGCCTTAACCAGACTGTTCTTACTACCTAGTGGTGCTCTGACAAGAATATACCACAAATGGGATGGCCTTGACAAACAGGAGTTTATTCTTACAATTTGGAGGCTTTAAGTCCAAGTTCAATGTGCCAGGATCTAGGGGCTGGGTGAAAGCCCCTCAACCTTGGGGTCCAACTCTGCCTCCTGCTCCCAGCCCACTGGAGCTAGAGGCGTTTCTTTACTCAGACAGCTGCTGGCTGCTGAGGCTAAGAAGCTCCAAGGTTGACAAGTAAAAAAGCACAGTTCTGATATTACCAAACACGGCAGTCCATTAACTTATTAAGTCCATTGTAAGTCCCAAGGATGGCAGAGCATAGCAGGCTGCTGAGTAAAGACACGGCTACATGCAGGGGCCAAGTGCACCATAGGCTAGAGACCATTCCCAAGGCTTCTCCTTATATACAGGAAGCAGACCACATCCCAAAGGCAGCTACTCAGCTGCTTGTGGTAGATCCCACCATGGAGTTGATTGCCAGTGTCGTCATGGGGAATAACTACCACCAGCTGCCCAGCCACTCAACCAGGCCAGCCAAGTTGACACACAAACTGAACTACCACACAGAGTAATTGAATTGGAATCTGCATTTTAATAAAACTGGTATGCAGATTAAAATTTGAGAAGAACTGGATAACAAACTCCTTACAGACTTCTTGAGCAGATTCTTTAACTCTTCTTCCACATCGAGGATAGGCCAAAGTTTGGGGCTTGTTGGAGGGAGAGGAAAAACAGACACATTACTTAGGGGGCACTGAGCTTCTGTTAAGGATGATGGGAATATTTGAAAATGGAAAATGGTAATAGTTGAACAACAGGATAAAAGTAACAAATATCACAAGTAAACAATGTAAAAAGGCAAATGATTTGTTACATATATATTTACCACAATTAAAAAAAAATTTGCATATTTAAAAAAAATTTTCTGGCCAATCACATGACTCAGTGAATTCTGAAGAGGGAAGGCAGGTGTTAACTCATTTTGTCCCTCTCCTTTTAGGGCCCATCCCCTCTGGTATTGGGGACTGGGAGGGAGAATAGGGAAGAAAATGATGTTTTCCTTAACTATGTGAGTATAATCCATATTAAATTTTTACTCTAACGACCTTTCTCTTTTTCACTGACCCTCTACTTTACCAAGCATGATATCCTTCTCCCAGGAATGGTCACTTCTGACAACATGACCAAAGTAGGTCAAAGTCTGGCCATTCTCACTTCCAAGGAGCATTCTGGACAGATTTGTTAGTTCCTGGCAGTCCATGGTACTTCCTTAATTCTGGTGGTATAGCAGTTAAAGCATTCATCTGCTAGCCAAAGGATCAGCAGTTTGAACCTACCAGTTTCTCTGTGGGAGAAAGATGAGGCCATCTGCTTCTGCAAAGATTTATAGGTTTGGAAACCCTATGGGACAGTTCCATTCTGTCCTTTTGGGTAGCAGAGTTGGAATCAATTCGATGGCAGTGGATTTTTTTTTTTTTTTTTTCCTGAATTTGTCTAGAAACCTTGACAATACCCTTTCACTGCTTAGTTCCTTGACATGGGAGATTAGCCTACAACTCTCTCCTCTACTCTTAGTTCCCATTCCCAGAAGTATAACCAGCCTTTTGCTGCTAGGATTTTCTCCTCCTTAGGTATCAACACGTTTCAAACGTTGATGGTACTTTCTATACAGCATTAGTCAACATGAGACTCATTCTTGCAATACCCAATGGTAGGAGTACAGATTGCTTCACTTCAGTGCCTACTCCCCGTCAGCTATTTTTCTCCAAGTTTCTATTCCCCTCTTCAGGTAGATGCAGGGCATATCAACAAATCCAGCAAATGAGCTACCAGTCTCCCTTTTTTTGACAGTAGCCTCTGATTTCTCTAGCTGACTCTTGTTTATTTAAGTTTGAGTGAGGGGGTAAATATGAAGGAAAAAGCCACAGTACTCCCCCAGAAACCTAGTAAGCGGTGACTCCAGTGTTTCATTTTCCTTTTCCCAAATATTTTGCTTATATGGCCTGAAAGTGGGACTTTGAAGATTTTAACTGTAGCAGGAGCTCTGATGGTGTAGTGCTTAAGGCATCTGACTGCTAACCAGAAGGCTGGCAGTTCAAACCCACCAGCCACTCCTTGGAAGGAAAGTTGGGCAATCTACTTCCGTGATACTGCCTTGGAAACCCGAGAAGGGGTTGCTGAGTTGGAATCAACTTGATGACAGTAAGTTTGGTTTTTAGT